AACTTAAATATATAATGCTAAGTGAAAGAAGCCAATCTGAAAAGGATATATACTGTATGCTTCCTACTATAAGATCTTCCAGAAAAGGCAAAACTATGTACAGACAGTAAAAAGATAAGTGGTTGTGGGGGCTAGGGAGAGGAAGGCTGAATATATGAAGCATAGAGAATTTTTAGGGCAGTGGACATATTCCATGATTCCATAGTGGTAAAAGCATGTTATTCTGCATTTGTCCAAACCCATAGAATGTACACCAACAAGACGGAACCCTCATGCAAACACTATGGGCTTTCAGTGATAATGATATGTCAATGTAAATTTACCAATTATGACCAAATACCACTCTGGGGATGTTGATAACAAGGGATGCTATGCATGTGTGGGGGAAGGAGATATATAGGAAATCTCTGTACCTTTTGATCAATTTTTCTGTGAACCTAAAACTACTCTAAATATGAAATCTATGTTTTTAAAAAAGTGGAAGAAAATTGTAAAATGGACTGATTTAAATGAATGGTTTCTAATAAACTTCAATAAATTTTTCCTTCTCCTGTACAGACAAGAACTGGTATGTTCTGGGTAATCCAGGGCTTTGCTTGGGTATTGCCTTTTCAAAGAATGAGAACAGAGTGGAATACTTTCAACACTGAAACCAAACATACTATAATTTGATCTTTAGCTTTGTTGTTGATGTTCTCAAAGATTCATCCGTATATTTTAAAGCATTGCTTCTCCAAGAGTGGTCGAGGAAATACCTCAGGTACCAGCATCATTGGACAGACTGGCTTGTTTAAAAACTGCAGTTTTCTGAGCCCCTACCCATCCTGAGTCCACTGCACAGCACCAGGTGATTTTAAAAATGCACATCAAGGTTTGGGAACCAGTTTTAGAGAGTGAAAGTCAAATTAGGAATATCAACTATCATCTGCACTTAAGAGTTGCAGATATTCTGCTAACATGAATGTCATGGATAACACAGCAAACTCAAATAGCTCCTTCCCTTCAAATCTTTCCTAACATATCACCTTCCCTTATGAGCACTTTCTGGATTCAAAATTGCAATATCACCTTCTACCCTATGCTTCCCATCTTCCCTATTCCCCTCCCTTCTCCAAAGTACTTAATAAAGCTACTATTTATTTCTTTGCCCCTCCCATGCATTCTAGGAAATGCTCTACCAGTGACCCTTATTTTTGACTCTTGTCTCTAGAAATTAAATTTTGTAGAGTAGGGGCTGGAAATATAGCACTTAAGACAGTACTGGAATGCAAAAGGTAGACAATAGATATTTGTGCCAAGTTACATCATCTCAGTGCTTGAGCATAATATCATTTCTTCACTGTCTTTTTCAAGAAGATTTACAAAATTTATGAAGCAAATCATTCTTTTATTTTCTGAGTGATGCTTTCCTAATTCTGGAGTCTGGGCCAGTTGCTTTTTGGATTATTTTCCCTTGATACTGCTGAGATCCTCCGTTTACTATGAGGATCAAGTATTTATAGCTTTACTGTCCTGTGAGCCCCCCACACACACACCCAAGGATTTGTTGCCTCCACTGCGAACAAAGTGGACTGGAGCTGCTAGATGGAGATAAACCCACAGGTGGGAGGAGACTTCTCTTAAGTCCACCCACCTGTTCCGTCCTACAAACCAGGTTATTGACAAAAGGAAGTAAATGCTTCCTCCTCTGAAGTCTTGAATGAGGATGCTAATAAATGGATCCTAGCTCAAGCTGCTTCTTAAACAGTCTTGGCTGGCTTTGAACAAATGACCCTTATCCACTTCCTATCCTCCAAGCCACCAGCCAACAGCACCAGCACACAAATCAATCTCAAGGACAGTGGAGCTCTGCCCTCTGGGCATCTCTCCTGAAAGAACCTGAAGTTCAGTCCTAGGAGCAGTCAGTTCCCTAACACTGGGGGTGCTGACCCTCATCTGTGTTTCTCCCAGGACACACCTGATGTTCCAGCTTGTGTGGAGATGCTGAGAAATGCTCCGTTCCCTTCCCCCCAGTCCCCAGTCCAGAGGATGCTGAGAAACTGGGAAAGGTTAGGGGAATACAAACAGGAAAAGGCAAGTTTGTTTGTAGTGTTATGTGCACAGGGTGCCAGGATACACCTGCTGAGCACTGCAGAAGGTCCCCAAGGAAACCATTAACGTGAGTCTCTCACATTCTTAAATGTGTGGTGGTGGGGTGGGGAGAGGGAAAGTGTGCTAAGAGGAGGGGGATGGGCACACTTCTAGGGAGCAAGGTTACCGTGCTAGAGCCCTGGCACACCTTAATAAAAGGTAGCTGAATACAGGATGGATGTGAAGGTGAGCAGCAAAGGGCTTGTCACTAAGGGTGACACTAAGTTATACTGGGTGGATTTAAAGGAAGGGAGATGGGAAGGAATGGGAGGTGAGTTGGGAGGGAGAGGCTTTTGTGGCACCGAAACCCCCAGCCGAGAAAGGAATGGGCGTGGATGTTAGTTGCCTTAGCCTCCTGCTTTGACTCTGCCTTAGTTGGTTTCAGCCAGGGAAGTGAGAGATAGGCACGGATATGCAGGGAGTTACCAGGAGCAGAATGGCCTCTGGCTTCCATGGCAATCCAGAATGGACTTTCTCAAAATTGCTCCCAGGCTGGAGGGAGGAAGATTTTGGAGTGGGTGAGGTGGCTTGGGTTGAAAGCATTGGGGGAATCCCTGAGACCCTGAAGATGGGAGTGGGGAGGAAGGAGTTTGCCCTAGTCTCAAAATGAGACCGACCGAGGGAAGTAACTCCAAACGTCGTGGGGTAGGTAGTTCAGGTTCTTCCAACCGGAGTGGGTGGAGCTAGAACTCTGCAAAAGAGTGGATCATTTGGGGGTAAGGTGCACCGCTGTGCCATCGGACTTCTAAACTGGACACCGGAGGAACTGACTTTTCTCCCCGTGCCTCGGTGGGGAGCGGGCGCTGAGCGTCTGGTACTCGGTTTCCTGAATCCAGACAGGAGTCTGAATGGGGCTGACAAGAGCGAACCAGGAAGAGAAGCAGCAGACTCCTCACACTGGGGGTGGGGTGGCGGCAAAATGGGAACCCAGGCTTGGGGCGGAGGATTTGCTCAGCAGACCACCCGGGCCACAGAGCGGAGAGAGGGATTTGGGGGAGTTGAGTGGGATTCTTACTCTGGGCATCAAGGGTCAAGGAAGGTTGGGGAGAAACTGATATCGTTTCTACCGGGATGATGATGGAAGCTTCCCATTCGGGACGCGAGGCACACAGGGGGTTCTCCAAATTCGATATGGGATAATGGGAATGGGCTGAGAGCCACTGAAGGGGGACTCTAAATTAGATTAGAAGAAATCGGGGGCTCCAGGGCAGATTCTTGCTCCGACTGGGGTAAAGAAGGATTCTTTCCAGTTGGAGTGGGTGGGGATTTGGGGCCACTGGGGCTATCTCCTCCCCAGCCCAGGGAGATTGGGGGGGTCTCTTCAATTCTGGACAGAGGGGACCAGAGAGGGAGAACTGGGGGGGGTTCCCGATCCGGAGCCGAGCTACCTTGAAGGCACCGGGAAGCGCTTCATTCCGGGAGGGCGTTCCCGCGG